TACTGGTATGGATTTACCTCTCTTGGGCTAGAAGGATTGTTAAAAAGATAAACTATAGGAAGTGATAAAGTCTGACGTACTTGAGGGCTTAGAGAGATATTTTAATTTAAAGGGTAAAACAATTTTGAAACCCGAAGGCTATACCCAGTGTAAAATTGCCTAAAAGAGTGGGGTGGGGAAAAAAATCCAGCCTGAGACTAAATAAAACATAATGGTTGTCTCAGACAGTGCTCTGTCCAAAAAAAGTCAACAATAATCCAGTCTTTACTAGGAATTTCTAATTTTGGGCTTGTCTTCACTTGAGCTGAGGATCCCATTTATATTTCCTGTTTGTTCCAGGAATTGCTAGACAATTTATCTAGAAAGATCCATCAAGGGACAGTTTTGTTAATTCATTTTCACAGAAAAAAAAGTGAGTATCCTAGCAGCTGCAACCCAAAGGATATATGTTTTCTATCTCATCACTTTTCTTCTGATTTTCTATCAGCAATTATTTCAAATTTCAACTATTTCCTGAGAGATTGCTGCACATGGTAATTAATAAGGAAACGAATGTCTTGAGTCTTTGCATTCTCCACAGAACAACTCTCATAGAATTGGAATATTTTTGACTTGATATTGAATTCCACAGACTCTTGATAAACAGACACACAGTTCCTTCTCTCAAGAAACTTTTAATCTCACAGTAGAGTGAAAGTCCTGGGCAAAGTGACCTGCATTCAAAGACGTTATAATTAGCTCTTATTTTATTACATTAGATCCTTCTATTGAATTTTCACATAATATAACTTCAAGATCTTTTCTCATTCTGGTTCATAAAACTGAAGATATCTGTAAGACTAGCTGATGAAATGGCAGGCACTGCAAAGGAAGTACAATGGAAAAAAGACTGAAGGGAAGCCAAACAAGGCAAGCAATAAGTCAATGAGGGAGGGCATCTTAGATTCTCAGTTCCAGGATGCAGATGGACTTGTAAGCACCAGAGGCAAAAGGAGTAAAATAGACGATAAAGGGCTTAACACCACACAGCTTCTGAAAGTGATCAGGAAGCTTTGCCACTAGAAGTCTTGCTGGCTGATGCCCCCAATGCCAAAGGAATGATTCTACTTCTAAGCAGGGACTGCCTTTTTCAAAGAACGCTGGACTCAATGATTATTCAAAACAAGTATGCTGCTTCCATGAGTGTCAGGCACTAGGATATGTTATATCTTCATGTTCATTCATTTAACAAAAGTTAGCTGTTGAAATTCTTTATTTCTGTTGGTAATAGGGTTTTCATCTGAAAGCCTCATGCTTGCTAAGCAAATGCTCTATCAGTTAAGCTATATCCCCAGCCTTAGCTTTTTGACAATTCTTAAAATCAGTCATTCCTTAAGCAATGGGGGGTATAGACGTATCCATTAGATGAGATTAAATGCTTACATGGGTATTATTTTCACCTTCACCAAGTTATTTTCATATCATATGATGATTAAAAAAGTGTTAAATGTGTCACAGAATGACCAAACCTAAGGCCAGGAATGTTTCAGAAAGCCAGAATGCCTTTCCATGATAACAGCTTCTGAGCTGTCCTCATTAAGCCTGTTGGTCAACTTCTAGCTAAAGGGTACAGAAGACTCATGGGAAGTAGGGCTGGTCAGATAGGGGGCTATGTGGCCTTACCTCTTCTCAGGTTACAGCTTTGAGTTCCTCCCTCTTACCTGCTCTTCAGGGCCACACAAAAATCACCTAGCCCTACTATTTCATTCTTAGTAGCATTTGATACAAACTGGTTGATCCTTCTAGGTCAGATCCTTTCCCACCCAGTGAGCACATTTGGGAAATCCTGTTTCCAAACCACTGCTCTGAGTAACTTTGCAGAAGATCTTCCTTCTTCAACATCTTAAATCTATTTCCCAGGTATCAGGCTGTTCTGGTCTTCCAAGAACATAGTGCATTCACTGGCCCCTCTCACAGAACTAAAGCCAAGTTTCACTTGACACATAACTTTGACCTCCAGTTTGTGACATTTGATATGGTCAGATCTTATCTTCCAGGTTAAACTGCCTGCTCCAAGGAAGAAGAAACTAGATTCCTATTTTTGTCTGCATAATCTCTCAAGGGGCCTGGCATCTTGGCATGGTTGTTTTATGTCTTGAACCTCAGTGCATGATTTTCCATTATCCTATAAACTTAAGGATACAAAAATGAAAGTTGGAGAGAAAGTATAAATTGTATAAAAAGCACTCTATGGTACTTTGAGGTATTTAAAGCTTGAAAGGGTAGATTCTGATCTCAAAAGAAACTATCAAGATGGAATTTTCTGGGGGAAATGGGGGACTAGAAAAGAAAGTGCAAAAAATGAGGTTAGTTTGATTGCATTAAAATATATGCATGTGTTAATTACCATGGTAATTACTATGGTGCTTTTATACAATTACTGTATAGTGGGGGGGGGAGAATGAAAGGAAAGTAAAACAGTCTGTGTTGTTACTATGAGGTACCATTGGGAATGTTGGGAGACAATGAAGAAGGTGAATGGTCAAAGTAATCTGTATGTATGTATAAAACAATGGAGTTTGCTGAAATTGTTTGAAGAGGAGAGAGGGTGGATGTGGAAAAGATGTGGAGAGATGAGTTTGACCAGGGTACCTTATATGTATATAAAAAACATGTCAAAAGGAAACAACTCTTGTACAAATAGTATGTCAACACAAACCTTTGAAAACTTAAAAACAAGATGGAACTTTGTTTTCCCTGAGATGCATTCAACACTGATGCTTCTGATCTCCTGGTTTTTTTTTTTTTCTGTGACAGAGATATACTTGTATGCCATCCAAATCTGTACGTGGGCAATTCATATTCCCTCTTCCTCCACATGTCTCTATCTACTAAGGCAAGCTCAGAACTATAACACTTCTGAGAGAAGTATAGTCATATTATGCCATAGTCTGAAATGTGTGCTCCAAAATTCCTATGTTGACACTCAATCATCAATGTAATGATATTAAAAGATGAAACTTTCAAGAGATAATTAAACCCTCCAGTTAGGATTCAAAACCTTATAAAAGATCTCTAGAGAGTGGGTTGGTTCCTTTCCAAAAACTTTCTGCCTTCCACCGTGTGAGAATACATCCTTCGTCAGGCTGAAGAAAGCAACAACAAAAGTGACATCTTAGAAGCACGAAAACTTGGCTTTCACTGTCCTCCATCTTAAATTTCTCAGCCTGTAGAGCTATGAGGAATAAATATCTTTTGTTTATAAAATTACTTATATCATGATCTAGTAGTAGCATTAGGTATACTAATTCTTACCATTTAAAACAATTTGAGAAGCTAACTGGCCAGGTCTTTTCCAGCAGAATTCAGCCCTGGAAACAGTTACTGCAAACACAAGCAAATCATCCTGGTTTTGTCCAGAGTCCTTGTTTACAATTGTCAAATGTTGCTGCATGTTGGGGTTAGCAAGGGAACTTTGAAAAATTCTTATTCCCAGCCATACCTTGTGCAAGTTAAATCCCTGGCATCACAGTTTTTGAAACTTTACTAGATGTGTTTGATGTGGGGCCCTATTTTCAAAGCAGTGGTTTAATCAGGTCCATTAACAACTTCCCCAAAGGTTCATCCTACCACATTAATGTCAGAACACACTGGCTTATTCAGAAATGAGCAATAGCTACAGAAGGCAATAGGAATAGGATTTATCATTGAATACCTAGCTGGCTGGACATGAAGCTAGTAATTAAGCCCATCTTTAATGTCACCATGTTTTTCCCTTCTCTGTAATCACTTTGAGCTCCACAGACATTTCTACAAAAACTAAGCAAGCAGATTCTTCCTTAGTATCCCCTGGAAAGCTTGGCAATACTGAGAAAAAGTCTTGGTCTTAGAGATGCTAGTCCAATTGTGTATAACTATGATCTCCAAACTAGGAACCTATGGATCACCTGGACATTTCTTAGAAATGTTCTCAGGATCATCTCAGAGCTAATGAATCACTGAAGTGGAATATGAAGGGACTGTGGAGAAAAGGCAGATCACTGATGAGTCTGAGAGCCATAGATCTAGAAGAGGGCACAGGTTTCACAGAGTTTGAAAAGTTCCACCAGTATTTCTTCTGGGAAGCCCATGTAGACTTCTAGGTTAAAAAGCATGGAAAATTTTCTTTTAATGGTGTGTTCTGAATCTCCTAATTTCTCATCTACCAGAGGAAGCAGAGTGCCATACACTGGGTAGAGAATGGAAGCTCTCACATTAGGTTGAAAAATAATGAATTTAATGAATTTAGTCATTTTATCTGAATTAGATCAGCAGGGAAGTACACTAACTACTCACTGAAACCCTAGTTAAGAAAATATCCTCATCATCCCTCTAACCCAATGAATCCACTTCCCTCCGAAATAAAACAGCCAATTAACTGTGACCCCCACAGCCAAATATAAACATCTATTTTACTTAACAGGAAATTTAGATACTTTCATTTTGAAATAGGTCTTTGAGTCAAAATTTCAAGCTTCAAATCAGACGCAATCTTTTCCTTCAAAGTGAACTTAGTAGTTTAAAAGGCTCAGAGTTTCTATTTATGCAATGATGACATTTAAAATTCTTGCTTTGATACTGTCAAGATAGAAGCATCTGGCAATATGGGTAATAAATGGAATCTTTCTATGAACATCAAACTTTATATGAAAGGAGTTCCTATGAAATGACTAACACTTCAAAGAATGGCAAACAGGCTGGCCATTCTCTGCTTGTTTTGCTTTTGGCTGCCCCTGATTTGGGGGTCTCGTGAACATCCTCTGGGTCTCCAAAGATGCTTCATTAGAAACAAAGCAACTCCATGGACCTCTAATATCTCTGAGAGCCTCTGAGTATAAGTTATGCATGATGAAGTATAAAAGATCTGCTAATAGCCTGAAGCAAGTAGAGCAGTTGAGATTGAAAGTACAGTCTCAGATTGTGCTCAGGGTCATTCATTCATGAACAGCTCTGGGGGCACTAAACCTGTCTACAAAGATTACCTCGAGGACAGTAGATGTCAGGAGCCCATCGGTTGCATTCATAATTGTCTGCTGCCTTCTCACAGGTAAAGCATTTAAATCCTCCAGGATATGGTGTAGCTGCAAAAACAAGAAAAAAAGAAATGAATGACTCTGCACACATACTCATTTTTTAACAAGATTCTCAAGACTTCTCAGCCATGTCAAATATGTAAACATCCAACTACCTATGATCCTAGAAATTTAACTCTTAAAAGTTTATTCCTAGTAATGAATGGGGTGAACCTACATGGTTCACATTTAAAAAATTATCATGATTAAAACAGCATTGTGAAGAGGCATCTGAGGAGACTCTGGCGCTCGTGATGGCCGACGGAAAAACCCAAGATTGATCTCAGCAGCTGAAAACAGCTGTGTGCTGTTTTATCATAAAGCTTGAGAAACCTGTTGATTTCTGAGGCAACTTGGGCTGGGCCGCTGCTGCTTTAAAAGGGTTTGTCAATGAGGCAGATCAGATTCCGATTTGATGGGCAGGCAATCAATGAAACAGACATGTCTGCACAGTTGGAAACGGAGGATGCAGATACAATTGATGAGTTCCAGCAGGAGTCAGGAGGTGTCTACTGAAAAGAGAACCTGCTACTTTGCTCCAGAACTTTGTTGTTGTTGCTGTTGTTGTTTTGGGGGAGGTGCCTGGAGGGGTTGAACTCTGGGCCTGGACACTGTCCCTCAGCTCTTCAGCTCAAGGCTAGCACCCTACCACTTGAGCCACAGTGCAACTTCTAGCTTTTTTTTCTGCTTATGTGGTGCTGAGGAATCCAACCCAGGGCCTCATGCATGCGAGGTAAGCACTCTACCACTGAGTCAATTTCCCAGCCCCAGAACTTTGTTCTTTTTTTTTGGGGGGGGGGGGGTCTGGTCATGGGGCCTGAACTCTGGGCCTGGGCGCTGTCCTTCAGCTCTTCAGCTCAAGGCTAATACTCTACCACTTGAGCCACAGTGGCACTTCCGGCTTTTTTCTTTTTGCTTATGTGGTGCTGAGGAATCGAACCCAGGGCCTCTGGCATGCAAGGCAAGCACTCTACCACTGAGCCACCTTCCCAGCCCCAGAACTTTGTTCTTATAGACCAAGAATACATTTTTAATTAGAAAATTGCAATTTGGTTCCTGATTACTACAGTATAGTTTTCTCTATTCTTTTATTTTTCCCCTTCCCCATTTCTTTATTGTACATAAAGTGACTGGTATATGTGCACTAGCATATTCTTTTTTTGTTTCTTTTTCTTTTTCTTTTAAACTAAATGGCCAATGGTATATTTTGATTGACATCAAATGGAGATGGCATGGGGGAAATACTGGTTCTGTGAATATCCAAAACATCCCCCTTCTCCACTCAAGGCATGCTCATTCAGCTTTTATCTTTATATTTCAGTAAGTTATTTTGCTCTCACTGTTTTAACAAAAAAAAAAGAGAAAAAAAATCCTTGCATGCCTTGTTTAATTGGAGAATTTTAATGTTTTCATTTATCATTGTAAAACCAAGGACAATTTTATAACTTTTTTGTATGTACCTGTTACATGTAGGACAGTCTGTCTTTAAGTAAGGGTAAATTACTCTTAAAAAAAAAAAAAAAAGAATCCCACGTAGTTTTCCCTTCAAGTCAAGTGTCTTGTTGTTTGTTTGTTTATTTTTTGTCGGTCATGGGACTTGAACTCTGGGCCTGGGCACTGTCCCTCAGCTCTTCAGCTCAAGACTAGCGCTCTACCACTTCAGCCACAGAGCCTATTTCCGGCTTTTTCTGTTTATGTGGTACTGAGGAATTGAACCCAGGGCCTCATGCAGGAGAGGCAAGCACTCTACCATTGAGCCACCTTCCCAGCCCTACATCTTGTTGTTTAAATAAACTCCTTGTTTAAAAAAATTCCAGCATTATGAATATATGCTAATTAAAATGTACCATAATAAGATAAAACAAAAGTTGATTATACAATAAAAGCAAATTGATTCTTGAGACATGGATATTTATGTTCATACAACTCAGTAGATACTATGATGAAAATGAACTATACAACTTTTTTTAATGTAATTTTATTGTCAAGGTGATATATAGAAGAGTTACAGTTCCATAAGTAAGGTAGTGAGTACATTTCTTGTCTAATTTTTTACCCTCTCCCTCATTTTTCTCCCACTTTCCCTCCCTGCCTCCAAGCTGTACAGTTCATTTCCAACATATTATCTTGTGAGTATCACTGTTGCATTGGCCCGCCCTTCCTTACTCTCACCATTTTGTTGTTCCCCTTCCCTTCCCTAATCCAGGTAAACATATATATGATACCCAGGGTACCAAAATCAAATACAGTGACAACAAGGGATTAACCATAGGGGTAAAAACACAAAAGCAAAAATAAATCACATAGTACATTAAAAACAACAACAACAAAGAAAAACCTCTTGCTTCCATATCTTGGAGTTCATTTTGCTTAGCATCATCTTATAAGGTCAGATGTACATAGTTATTGAGCTATTATGATCTTCTTCTAGGACTATTCTAAACATATACTGATTATTACAAATGAGGGAAATCATGGGATCTGTGTTTCTTTGGGTCTGGTTTACTTCACTTAATATGGGTTGAAATGGAGGGAAGAACACAGAGAGCAAGGGAAGGGATGATATTATTCAAAAAGAAATGTACTCTTTATCTGACTTATGAAACTAACCTCTTTATGCATCACCTTTATAATAATAAAAAATTCCTGAAAGGAAAAAAATCTGTACACAAATATTCACAGCAACTGTCTTATACAGGTTGTCTATTTCCACCTTGAGAATCTGAAATCTAATATGTTCCAAAATTGAAACTTCTTGAGTTATATTAGAATATGACACCTCACTCCAGAAAAGAAAATTCACAGTTAAAATGCTAGAGCACTAAAGATATTATATAAAAATTCTTTCATGCTGTCTAATACATGTATAAAATATAAATGAACTTGATATTTATACTGAAATCTTGTCCTTGATCTATTTCATTACAAATATGCAAATGTCCCCAGATTTGAAATTTTTCCATCTAAGTCTTTTTGCATATAGGATAATCTATAGCATCCCCAAACTGGAGAAGAACAAGCTCTTAAATAGAAACTATCCTCTCCTCTTGATACCTATGTTCTTTACCCTGCCTTTAAGCTCAAGTGGTAGGTGTCATGCTTTGGAGAGCAACCCTGTTTGCACAACACAAGATAAGGATCAGGAAGGGGTAGTAGGCCAGGATGTTCACTCTTTCCATCAATGCATTATTTTAATTTTTTGACTGTCTTAGGGCTTAAACTCAGGACATGGATGCTAGCAGTCCCTGAGCTTTTTCACCGAAGGCTAGTACTCTACTACTTTGAGCCACAGCTTCACTTCTGGTTTTCTGGTGGTTAACTGGAGATAAGAGACTCACAGACTTTCCTGTCCAGGCTGGCTTCAAATTGCAATCCTCAGATCTCAGCCTCTTGAGAACCTAAGATTACAGGTATGAACCACTGGCTTCAATGTCCTTTTTTAATGGCCTCTTTACTGTAATCATCTGCTTACTTTCTATTTAGACTTCTGTCTCTCACAAACAAAACTTGAGCATATTTTTAAGTTTGTAAAATTACCTGGCCTATTTGAAAGCTGCAGATACTCTAACAGTTCATCTGTTGGAGCCAACTGCTCTCACTCACAGATGGCTGAGCCTGCGTATCCCACTGGCGGAAATAATCATCTCAGGGTAAATTGCTTTGCCCACATGGAACCAATTAAGTATGTTATCAAAAATAAATGAAGGAGGAGGCAGCAGCTTAAGGGCAGAATTATGAGCCAGATATAACTTTGGTTTTCACCTTGTCCAGAATAGCTGTGCATCCATGTACTTGCCTGAAATATTTCACAGAGCTCATGGTGATAATGCTCAATACCCCAACCTGGCCTAAAGTCATAAATTGTCCAAACATGACAAATAACTGGACATTTATATGGGAAAATTTGAGAATTCTGTTTTTCCAAGTAGTTAGTGACTAAAATTCAAAGAATACCTGGATGGATAATCTTAAAAAATGGTACAATGTAGCTTAGAAAACACGTAATTACTTTATTTCCATGAAGAAATTCCACTATGGGGGAAAATGCTCTCCCCTCATAAAGTTATTATAATGCAGATGAAAGTACTCTGTGATACCATGCACAAGTAACTTGTACATCTATCTCTATAGTCTACCACCTAGAAAGGAAGGTTACATTTGATTGAAATAATTTATTTTTGGTAATTATATGTCTGAACAATTTAAAACACATACATCCCAAAATTCCAAAGCCATTCAATGGTCTTTTAGACATTTTTGAACCATAATCTTCTGATATCCGTCTCCTGAGTAGCTAGCATTACAGGGATAAGACACCGGTACCTAGCAAACGAGTATAGTTTTGTAAATATATTTATGAGAAAAAAGAATCAGGAAATTGTCCTGATTTGATACATTAAAAAGATTCACTAGTCGGGCGCTGGTGGCTAACATCTGTAGTCCTAGCTACTCAGGAGGCTGAGATCTGCGGATTGAAGTTTGAAGCCAGCCAAGGCAGGAAAACCCATGAGACTCTTTTCTCCAATTAACCACCAGAAAACCAGAGTAGTGCTGTGACTCAACGTGGTACAGCACGACCGTTGAGCAAAAATCTCAGGGAGAGAGCCCAAGCCCTGAGTTCAAGCCCCATGACTGACCAAAAAAAATTCATTATTACAAAATCATTGTATAACAATAAAATAGTTAATATATAAATAGCTTTAAAAGTAAAACTTTAATCTGTAAAATTTGAAGTAGGATGACCAAAGAAGAGGTTTAATAAATACATAAAAATTTGAGAAAGAATAAAATTTTGTAAAAAAAAAAAAATTAAGAGCTCCATGTACACTAAGGTTTATGACTGACTATAAGGTGGCTGGACCACTGCACTTTGTGTGAACAATTCATTGAACATTCAGTTTCTATCTTTGCAACCAAAAGCATTTTTTGGCTGGAATGTTGGATTAGTTGTTCCTGGAAGCATTCCCATTGAAAAGATAAATTAAGAACTTTGAATGATGATTGATGAT